TAGCGCCGGTCATGATCCTTAATTGGGTCGTGACATTATCCAACCATTCGTGTTAGTAAATGCAGATGAAGAATCCACATTTGTAGATCTAGTTAAAAGCATTAGCAATGCTTTGTCCCCATCTAAATTGTTCTGTTTGGACCCAACTCATTCTTTAGCGAAAACTATTTGAGAAGCTGTTATTGTAAAACTACCTTCTGTGCCTCATCACATCCGAAAGGCATTAAGATTGTGGTGACCGTGGACGTGGACTTGGATGTGGACATGGACATGTCCGCGTACGTGGACGTGATCTCGGACTCGGAATCGGATTCGGATTCGGATGCGGAATCTTCACGCGATGAAAATGTAGTTAATTTTTACATGTATGGAGTTCTAGAGTCTGATAATAAGAGGAGAAATTTATATCTAAATGGATTTTATTGTACGGCTGAACTATATTTGGCTCGACTGGACATAGAATTTGATGTTGAAAATTCTGATATTCAAGACATCCTTCATTCTATGTCTAATTACTTGATCGAGCGCGCTTTGTTTTTTTGTTCTGAAAACGTATTCGATGGGAAAAAACAAGAATTTAGGGAGCTGGTATGTGGATTGAAGATTATGACAGTGGGGGAAGTATTATTGAAGAATATTGTGCATAATTTTGAGTTGGCAGAGGACTTATGCCCTATTTGCTTTGGGAAATTTTGTGATGAATCAGTGGTGGCGGTGACAACACCGTGCTCCCATGTATTCCATAGGAGTTGTATATTCACTTGGCTATCAGAGAAGAACAATTGCCCTATCTGTAGAAAAAAGGTTGCCTTGCATGAATAGTTCTTGTTATTCTCATGGCTATATTATCTTTTTTTCTTATTTGCTACTTTTAGTTTTTATTTCATCTTAGCCCTAGGTTGCCAGCTAAGAGCTTTTTCTTATAATAGTCAGCCATGTATAAACTATGTTGAATGAAAACCTGATTTTTATTACAACATTTTTAATTACTGTTTCCAGGGCTGGCATTGGAGGAGTTCTCAGAGATGACATCCCCCCTCTGTTTTTGTGCAACTTATGTTGGAAATTATAGACATGGTAGGGGTCAAGCCATGTCTTTCCTCTGGACGGATCATTGGAAATTATACTGTACTTTCTATATTGCATTTACAGTTTGCTCTAACCATTACACCTTCAGAAATTCAGATAACTTAGACATGTTCTTTTTATGTCCTACCAAATAGATGTGGTGATGGCGTATACTGACATTCCCATGGATGATTGATGCATATTCTTTCTTCATATGCTTAAAAGACCATAAATCAATAAGCAATGAGAAACCAATCCAATACCTTTCATCCAAGAATTATATAACACGCACAACACTATCGGATTTTTGGTTAACCCATTCAGAATCGATAACCCTATAATAAAAAAAAAAAATCGTTGGTGAAACCGCTATACCAATAATCCATTACCATAAAGCAATACCTCTTTTTTACGGATTATCGATTTCGATTCGATTTGAACAGCCTTATATGAAAATATATAATAAGACATCCCTATAAACCTATTCCTATATAAGGTAGGACAAACAAATTCTAGCTAGACATAATTAAATAAATACCAAATAATAAATCCTAAACTACTTAGAATTCTTACTATTTCTTTATTTCCTATATCATATAAACTAAACTTATGACTTTTTGAAGTTGAATACGAAGTTAATTCCGGAAAGGAAAATAAACTCTGTTATTCTCACCAAAACACAGCCAGAAATATTGAATTTGTTTCCTACTTCACATATACATAGGAAAATATTGATTCTATATAAATAATAAAGCTGCTCTGTTTCGTTTACCATAAGTCAGAAGGCATGGCGTTTCGAGGTGAAAGTATGAAGGGAATGAAGATAGGTGTTCAAGTGGAAGCACCATCATATGCATACAGCCATTGTAGGAAGTTTGGGGCTTTATTACCCGAATATGGATTTTTTATTTTTCAACTAAAATAAACATTACTATCAATATCGATGTAAGAAAAGCAGATTAACACTATAAGGTCCTGAAATGCACATGAAAATTGCTCTCATCTTTGTATGAAACATAGATGCTTCTCAGATAACCTTGTAATACCTGAAAGTTTTCCAGATTAGGACTAATTTTGAATGAATAAGGAATTTTCTGAGTGTAAATGATTACAAGCCAAAGAGCACCTCGACATCTCCTTTGAACAATCCAGATGATCACCGCCCTCAGAAAGAAACAAAAAAAAGACTAGTTACAACTTACAAGTGTAATCTTTGCATTAAACCCCTATATCTATGAAGTTTCTTGTGCAGGCAAGGTAAAGTCAATCTACCCATCAACTCCTCTGTATATACAGTTTCTCCTTTGAACAGCTTCCAATTCCGAGCCCTCCATGTATGGTAGATCATTGGCCCCCCAGATGGCTGCAATAACCTTTTGTATGGATTTCCAATGTTTCCTCCTAATTTCCATTAACACTTGTCACACGCCCCTCATGTTGTAATCTGATTCCAGCCCATTGCATCATAGCTTTTTCCAGTACCAACTACAGTCCTGACGATGTTTAAGCAGTATGAATTGAAATACACATATGTCATTTAATCAGTAAATAACATCAAGAAATTATGAAAACAAATTTCACTCCTCAAAGTCTTCCCTATTTCTTATACTGTACTTTTTATATTGCATTTGCAGTTTGCTCTAACCATTACACCTTCAGAAATTCAGTTAACTTAGACATGTTCTTTTTATGTCCTAACAAATAGATGTGGTGATGGCATATACTGACATTCCTATGGATGATTGATGCATATTCTTTCTTCATATGCTTTCAAGAATATCCCCATCCTACATAAATATATGTAAGAAAATCTACACGCTTCAATAGAAAACTCACCTTATATTCAATTTAGCAACTAATTGACAAACCTTAGTTATCATCGTCATGTTGTGCCACAATTAAATATGTGTAAATACTGAAGGATAGTACAAATACAATATATCATGCATAGATTCATTTTTTTTAAAATTCTGTAGTAGGCAGATCTTCGTTCTACTGTTAAGCAAAGTTTCATTCTTGACTTGGGATGTTTGATGCTTAGAAGAACTAAAAACTTTCAATTCAACATGGTTGCACAAGCTATATATAATGTCTTTTGCAATTGAGATGTGAAATTAAAACGTGATAAGACCATAAATGTATAAGAAATGAGAAACCAATATATCCAATATCTGCCATCCAAGAATTATATAACGCACAACAACTAGCTGCAAGTCTATAACATCTAGTTCTGACAATGGAAGTTTACTTATTTCCTAAAACTTCTGATCGTTATCCGTTATTATCTTCTCTGAAATTTAGATTTTCTATGGAGCATAAAAATAAGGATATGATTTTGATGATGAGAACGACATAATTTATAGTCTGAAAAGAATATTAAACGTCATTTGTAACGTCATTAATATCAAAGTGATACGTCATTTGTAATGATCACACAGATTTATGTATAAACTGTTCAAAGTATAAACATAACGTTTACAGTCAATGGTAACAAAACTGTGAAACTATCTTTATTCACTTACACTTTGCTGTCAGACCACATTCAAGCTACTGTCTATTCAATAGAGAAGCTGTAGAACTTTCCTATTACCACCTGAGCTAGAACGGTAACAACTTGAATATATTGTTATCAGAATCCTGACAAAGAAAAAAGTTTGCTAAGTTAATATCCGATAATCATTAATAAAAACCTGAATAATACTAAACAAAAACTTACATTTGTTTAAATGATTAAAGGTATTCGCCATCGATCTTTATGGTGGAGATATGAGCAGCTTCTGGCCAGTATTTCCCCTTGTCAAATTTTAGGAGTCGTTTGAGGAATGGGCATTTGGAAATAGATAGTTTAGAGAGGGAAGAGAGCATCCCGTTTACTGGAAGGGATTTGAGATTACAGCAATCACTGATGGTCAGCTCAGAGAGGGAGGAGGGCAGGGGTGGAAGGGATTTGAGATTAGGGCAATCACCGATGATCAGCTGAGAGAGTGAGGAGGGCAGGGGGGCAAGAGACTGGAGTTGATGGAAAGAGAAGATGGCTAAACATTGAAGAGGAGAGGAGTGAAGCCCTTCTTCCAACATTGACTGAATTTGAGGTAAATTACCAATAAATAGATATTCAAGAGAGGTGAGGCTTTTGAGAACTTGGCTGCTTAATGTTTTCAGATTGGATATGCTAAGACTCTTAATAGAGGAAGGCAACTCCCAATTCTCACCAGCAAGAATCTCTTCGTCACTGTCATCATGGTGGATCCCTAACTGTTTGAGACAGGGGAGTCTCTGTAAACGCCACTCCTTTCTGCCGTTCACCAGTTTCTTGCAATTGTGGATCACAAGGTCTTGTAAATTGAAGGGTAATCCTCCTTCAGGAAAGGACTCTATTTCTGGACAATTATACAGAATTAGATCCTTAAGAGATGGAGGGAGTTGTGGCAGCCGCTTCAGCTTTGTAAGGTTGTCACAACGGAGTCTTTCAGTCGCAGTAGGAATTAAAAACCTAGAAAGGTTGTGGCAACGAATTACATCCAAAGAACATGCTCTTGAGATCAACTCAGTTATAGAATCACATTCTTCCAGTATCAAATTCTCGAGAAACATCTCACCAACTGACGCCTCCAATTTCAATTTCTGGCAACAAGATATATTTATTGTCTTCAAGGTACTGGGAAGAATGCTAAAAGGTAAGGAGGTAAGAGAGTTACAATCACTAATAAATAATCCCTCAATCTTCTTCATTCCCTCAAGTTGGGATGTAAACAGCTGAGCCTCATCAAAAAGAACTCCAACCTTAGGAGAACCACCAACTTCAAACCTTTTTAAACTTGAAAGTTGGATGGGTGACTCCAAATTGAGTTCGGGACATTCTGAAATGGTCAATTCTTTCAGAGAACAGAGATTTTCAGGCAACTTCCCCATTAACTTTGGACAATTTTCAATTGAAAGCTTCTCAAGTGTAGGAAACTCTCCATTTCCTAGTACGTGCCATTGCTTCCACTCCGGCATATCTTCAAATTCAAGCTTCTCAAGAGAGTTAAAAGGCTTTTTAGAGGATGAACTGCCATAGAATTCTTCCATCACCTCTGTTATTCGATCCATCCCTCTAATGGAAAGGAATTTCAAAGAAGGGAGTTGTCCTAGTGCTGGCAAGGAATCACAGTCCGTGCAGTGGCTAAGAGACAATTCTACCAGCTTAAGAAACAAAGAATCAGCTAGCCAATTTGGAAATTTCATCCCTCTATATCCGATGATGTTGACTTCTTTTATGTTCTTATGTGGGCGTAGCTCATCAAGTATGTCACTTTCAGTTTGTGAATTGTCGACACTGCTACTTCCACTCCACCTCAAAGATAACTTGTCAACATGATTCTTCTCCCTCATCTTTGCCTTCACAGCTTCCCTTCTATCAACCACATTTTGCAACTCTAGAACTGATAGAGATCCATACAAGTTATTTAATTCACCCAAATCTTCCATTCTCAAACCACCGCGACCACCTTCAAGAAACTTGGCTCCCACCAACACTTGGAGGCTTTTCAACTTGCTCAGATGTAGTGGCATCTTCAAGCGAGAAGTGTTGCTTATGTCAAGATGACGCAAGTTAATCAACTTCTCCATATGCAGCGGTAGCTCCTTAAGATAACCACAAGATGACAGGAGAAGTGTCTCTAAGTTATACAATACACAAATGGAATAAGGCAACTTTTCAATCATTGTCTCAGAAAGGTCCAAAAATCTGAGGAGCTTTAATTTGATAAACAAGTCATTTGGCAACTCCGTAGCATGGTAATGAGACAATGATAGTGCCCTCAAGGATCTTAGTCTTGGCAGTATGTTATGCTGCACCCTCTTGCTTAGATGGTAATAATAATAATAATGTTTGAGATCAATATAGATCGGAAGCAATGTCC